ATATTTTATTTATAAAACATTTATTAATTCAATCGAATTTGATTTGAAATCAATATCGGGATACTATTACTGATTAATTAGACTAATTGATTTCATTAATTGATTATACTGGTATTATTATTAATAATAAAAATATAAATACAGTTATATTAGCTATAAGTATTTTAATTATAATAGAAATATTAGATTCTCGAAATAAGTATCAATATACTACTAAGTATCTAATGTGTCTTTAAATTTATTTTGATATATTTATTGTTGTTATTATTCTATTTTACTTAAACCTCATTACATATATATAAGCATTCTATTACTTATTATAATTAATTCTTATATGTAAAATATTATTATATTATGTTCATCTTTGATATATATCAGAGAAATTGCATTTTTAATATATTCATTATTGTCATTATTCTATTTTATTTTTTATAATTTGGCAGTTCTGCCACTTTTTATTTGCAGATTAAACTATACTAAAAAATTTACATTCTCTAATAGTAGCTATACTAATTCACCTGTAAAGTGATGTATCCACACTTTTGCCAAATATGACTTGCCTCAGTAGACTTCAAGCTTCTCTTCAGGTTTTTAACTTACTAGAAGTTATCCTTTAATTATGGCTGATGCCACACACCATATCCAAATTAACTTTACTTTTTACAAAATGAAATATAAACACAAATACAAAAGATATAACAAAAATAGAGAAATATTATAGTGTCGAGTTCTGGTCTATCTAAACCAATAAAACTAAATAAAACAAATATTGAAACAAAAAGAAAAAAACAAAAGAAAAAAAACTAAAGATAGCACTATTAAATCTGTGTCAGATTGTAAAAATTATCTAGTACTATAAATAAACTAGACTAAACTCTATACTAGTTATTTATGTCTATATCCAGAATGTAAAAATATCTGGTCTTGAAGTAGAGCTCCAAGGTTGAAACTTTTGGTACTATCTTAACTAGATTGATAGGTCTTCTGCAGTATTTCAAACGTTATCACATTGTCTAAAACTATTCATCCCAAAGTAGACATATAGGCTATCAAAAGTAGAAACCAAAGAATTTGACAATTTTTTGAAAATTGATCTGTTTAATTGATCAGGTGTAAAATTTAAAGCCCAATCTTTTTTGCTTAATAATAAAAGTCTGATCAATTAATAAATTTTTGCGATGCAATGGTTAAAAACTTTTGACGCTATAATCTAAAAATAGATTTACCAGTGCAAATGTTCAAATGTTAGTATGATAGTGATCTATAGATCTAATAATCCTGTTTAAACAGGTTTGTTAATATTGAATAAACTATTTTTAGATTATTTTGATTTTGTGTAACAAAATAGTTTTTGCTAATTTTCTCAAAACCCATGATCAGCCAAATTCTCTGATTTCTACTTTTGATAGCCTATATATATGTATATGTGACTTTTCTTTTTCAGCAGCTATTACTGTGTTAATTTTTTGTTAGAAGTACACTGTTTTTTCTACTTTTTGGTAAAAATTTCAAAAAGTACAAAGAGTAAAGTTTAGTAGAAGGTTTCAGTTTGCAGGTATCCTTAAACTTTAGTAAAGAGTATATTGAAAACTTGTTTGTTGTTCTCCTTTAGACCAACTATTATCTAACTTTGTCGACAGAAGCAGTGCTTCTATTAAAATTTTTTGTATAAGGGCACTACTTTCTTGCCAATTATCTTGTACAAGAATACTTTTAACTTGTATACTAAATATACAGAGAAGTTCAGAGTAAAATGTAAAAGCTTGACTTCTGTAAAAACCATTATTGTATAGTTGTCTTTTCTACTTTTTTCTAACAAGTTTCTGTTTTCGTTAGCTGTAAGTTTGGTATAAGTAATCATCAGAAAGAATTTTGATTGCCATTATTCTATTTTAGTTAAACTTTATTACATATAAACATTTTTTTTTTCACTTAGGCAAGATTGTGCCAGTGATCGATGTTTATTAAAGCTTCAATCCTGTAGAAGATTACAAGTATATCACTATAACAATAAACCTAGAATCCTGACATTCTACGGCTGCTCTACTGAGTGCCTATCGGTGACCTGCCGCACCAGCAAGATAAAACTAAAAGGTAGTATTTTAATCCTATTCTTAAAAGACCATTCAGATTAAATTCAGATCTTCTCCAATGTATTCGATTAACATTTGAATTTTAATTCAGATTATATTGGCATTAGTAATTCGGATTCGATTATGAGAACTCAAATAATTATATCTGATACGTACATGTGTATGTACTTAATACATATCAGATACTTGCGTGTGTGCATACAGCAAATAATAAAATAAGCACTTTACATACATTATACCGATGCATAATACGTATTACAAATAAGTAGTCGAAGTAAGATAGGTATCACATGACAATTTATAAAAATCCTTAATTTAGTAATATCAGGAAATCAATGCGTCTTCAGGCTTAACCTGACTCTCAACTAATATCTAACCTGATTCTCAACATAAAAGACGCACTTTTAAAATTAGAGTTATGTTGGAACAAGTTTTCTTTTTTTGTATAGTAAGGCATAAAATATTGTGCTTATACAATTTTCAATGATAGTTTAGTAGTTTATAAGACGTATTATACTGTATTGTTAAACAATCCAAGATCAATAAAGCAAGCTTTTTTTATGAAATTTAAAGCCAACTTTTTATTCAGTTTAATATGATTTGCCTAGTTGTTATTCTTCGTCATTCTATTCTGGTGCAAAGACAGACATTTTATATATATTTCTTTTTAGAAATAGTATATGTCCTACTAAATTCGTATCCAGGTTTATTCTTTTAGAATTAATGAGATTTCTGTCATCTGAAAATAGCCGTTCACTAGATACCAATGTTGCTGGTATTGCAAGATACTTCCGGGCGATTTTTGAAAGTTTTGGAAGTTTTTGTGAATGCGTTTTCCACCAAGACAAAGGGTCCTCAGTATCCAATACCAATGGTAATGATAAATAAGTTGAAATTTCATCAACAACTTGTTGAACTGGTACCAATTTACTTTTTTTTTCATTTCATTTGGCATTGTTGAAGGTATTCTTTATGTAAACGTGTTGAAGATCCTGGGATAAGTGGGGTTGGATTAATTGGTGGTTCAGATGCTAATTCTCCTGCTTCTCTAAATTCATCATGAAGATTTTAGATAATTTGTTGTTTTTCAGAGTCATTATCTAGAAAATCTAAACTTTTATAACGAGGGTCTAATAGAGCTGCCATCAAACCAAGATCATTCGGATCGTTCCAATAATGAATTAATGCATCATAGATAGTTTGCTCAACTTTTTCCAAAATGCCAGTTGTATTTAGCAGATTTTTAATTGAAATTTTTTTTTTAGTAATTTTGCTAATAACTTCTTCTTCATCAAATTCAATAGGTTAGACTTCTTCTCCAAATACCGTATCCTCATTCAAAAACAAATTATTACTTGATGATGCTTCATTTGTTAAATCAAAAATCATTTTATTAATAGTTAGAATAAGTTTACTTAACGTTATATAGGTATTTCCTGAGAACTCCTGTGTTGCTTCTTCGAACAGCATCAACAAATCAATGAGCTGGTCCATTAGTTCCCACTCGTCATCTGAAAGAAGAATCTTTCTTAATTTATTATCATCTTTTTAAACATCCTGATCTACTGATGTATATAGGTCTGTTTGAAGTTGAATAATAGCATCCTTTAAAAAAAAAAGACGATCCTAAGCATAGTACATCAAGTTCCAATGCGTGGTAACATTTTGAATACAACGAACAGCATCGGCATAACCAAGCTTTATTTGTACTTCATCTAGCTGTTCTATTTGTTTTTTGGTACTGAAAAAATTGAATTAACCTCTTTGCACGTGCAACTAGAACTTCCGCTGGTGCAAGTTCTTTTCCAATCACCAACTGAAGAGTATGAGCTGTATACAGAAGACATTTAATTTCTCTACACCTGTCCTTTTGGTTTAATAAGAGGAAAGCTGAGACCATATTTTTACTATTATCAGTGGTGATTGATGTTATACGATACTCAAGATTCCAAGATTTAATACATTTATGAAGCTCATCGGCAATGACTTGACTAGTATGTAGTGAGAGAACATATTTATTTTCCAACATTACATCTTTAATTTTGAAACTTGGCATAATCCAAGTTGCAGTTACTCCAAGATACCCGTGCCTGGCTTTACTTGACCATAAATCTATTGTAAGAGAAACATTTTCAGCAGTTTGAGTAAGAAGATTTAATAAATTTTCACAATTATGTTTATAGCTTTTGAAAATCATGGTTCTAATTTTTTTTTTCTCCTGGGATAATAAAAGAAGGGTCGAATTCTGCCATTTTTTCCCTATAGGCTTCATCTGTGACTATTGAGAGAGACTGGTTTGAAAGTAATATTCACTTTAGAAGTGCTTCTTCACGTCGTTTTTGAATATACGGAGGATAAGGACAAACTTTTCGTACAAAATCAGTAATTTTGGAATTTCGTGGCTAAAAATTAATAGCATTTACACTAACTTGTAAATACAATTATCTCAATAAAAAAAACCTTCAATAGATTACATATCCGCCAATTTTGGAAATCACTATAAAAATGCATCCAACCTTGAATAACTTTTGATTTACAGATTCATTTTGGATAATTTTACTACAAAAGTGCTCGTCTCATTGAGACAAACATTTTGGTAGTAAAATCATCCAAAATGGATTGATCAATCAAAAGTAATCGATTTCCAAAATAGCATATATGAATTAAATTCTCGATATAAGAAAGTCAAGCTGAAACCAGTTTACGTATAAAAATCCACTTGATATAAGAATATTATTAATAGACCCTTATAAGAAGAGTTAAAATTTTTATTGTATACCTAACCATTTTTTTATATCAAGATTTATTTATATCTCATTTTTATTTATAATACCTTTTTTACATTTTCTCTATCATCTTGTGAAACAATATCGTGAGTGTCTCTAAGGTGCATGATAAGATTTCCTGTTAAACTTCCTATATTTTTATATTCTGTGCTACATTTTTCACCATCTTCATTTATGACCTTGCAGACTCGTACTTCTTCACCTTTTTGATTGACTGCTGTTTCAAAGTATTCGTAAGTGAATGATGGCTCTTTACAATTATACTTTTTTTTAGGGTTTTGAGCTAAAGCAAAAATGCACCAATAAAATTATTATTTATCTTAAAAATATTTAGTTTTATTACTATTAATATTAACACCTTTTTCTTTATCTTTTAAAGGTGATGTAGAAAAATGAGGCATAGGTTGGATACTAGACATAGCAGTTTCTGGCACACAAGAAATTTCAGATGGGGCTACTGAATTTTTCGCAGTTTCTATGATAAAATCATTATCATAATAATATTCAGAATCATCTTCCATCATCTTATAGTAATGTTCAGAATCTTCTTCCATTTTATCTAAGGTTTGTATCAACTTATATAATATATTTGAAGAGACTAGCGTGTAGCAAAATTCAGTATGAAAAGACTAGTGTGTAGCAAAATTCTGTACATTTGATTTGTAAGTTTTATCATCTTTTATAAATCTAGATTATTAATTTCTTCAACAGTATTTACAATAAGTTATCATATTACCAATACTGGTAAACTTATCTCGCATATATACACATTCTCACATTTTCTTTGCACACTCTAAGAAACCAAAAATTAGACCAATTCTACCATATACCTGACCTTGGTGCAACTATTCATTTGTCCTTTTTTAGAACGATATTTAAAATTATACCACTCTTTAAGTTACAATTAGGGAAAACTTAGATCAATTAAAATAATTTGATATATTTTTATTATTTAAAAAATAATGAACACCAAACTCAGGAATTATAACATTGATGAATCACAAGGTCAGAAGTAATTTTAATGATTTTCATAGCAACATGTTTACTTTATTAGTATATTTTCTAATGTATTGCACTAATGGCATGAATACTTCGAGCAAACATGCAATCTTTCTGGAACTTTAGAACATTCCTTTATCAACCTAAAATCTTTCGATTATATAATTAGATTTTTCTTCATTCATAGATTATCTACTTTCGTTGAGAGTATAAACCCTATTAGAGTTTATAGTAATCCTTATTCAGGGTCTGTAATCCGATTTGTACTTTTTAGAAGCAAATAAAAAATAAAATAACATGAACCAGCTTGGCGTAATACTGCATCTGGTCTTATTTTTTTTTTTTTTTTAGAAAAAAAAAATTTTGCTGCTTTTAATTCACACTTATAATCTGATTTTTGAAATCTAGAAATGAGCTATTTATTAATATATAAATAAGTTATTAAATACAAGCATATAAACAATTTGTGACTGATGGTAAGCTAATATAAAGCTGTTAAAAGATGAGTTGATCAAGATCAACGGCATCTTTATTTTTAAAAGACCAAATTAATTTTTGAATTGCAGAATTAATTTGGATTTAGGATTCTCAAGCAAGTTGTCAACTTAAAATCAAGAATGCAGAGTTGAATAAGACGATTTGCCTGAGAATTTTAAACATTCTTATTTAAGTTGTTCGTGTTTATAACAAGTATCTCGCTAATTTAATGTCTTGCTAATTTAACGTTAATGGAGTTCCAAAGCCTGGTTTTTTCTTTGCGCCACTCATTTATATCTAGAATTAGGATCTGTGTAATCCTTATCCTTAATCCGACTTTTATTAAGAATTTATCTGTTGAAATAAATAAATTAGAATATCTGTATTCTAATCTGAATTGTCGGATAAATCCAAATTGTCAGATTGCAGATCGAAACACTACCAAAAGGTAATACTCTAACCGGAGGGCTCATCTGACCCACCACCCTACAATAAGATACTACCAATCTGATGATATCTTCTCGTAGAGAAGTGAAAAGAAAAGAAAAACTATATAAAAAAAAATACGGAGGTATAAGGGAATATGATAAAAGATATAAACAAGAAAATAAAGGGGTAAAGGAAAAACGAAAAAAAGAAAAACAAAATAAAGTGAGATATTTCACCTACATCAGATGATCACAATTATAAGCCTGTGTTGGACTTTGTAAAAATTACATACTACTATCTAAACTAGTCTCTACTCTAATTTAACTAATTAGTATATTTAAGCAAAAACCTAAAAGGAAAAAAAAAGCTTTTCAACATCAGCACTATACTCTAGCACTATAAGCTCTCCAGCTTCTTTTGTTTAAACTTCCATAGAAGTATAAACAAAAGCACGCTTCGGGCATCATAGAGAAGTCGGAAATTTATACAGTTAGTTATGAAGCATTGTTTGTCCAGGTTGCCACTTCTGAGGCACATAATCCATATATCCATATTCTATAAGTATTCACGTGTTTGTTGTAACAGGAAAAAAGTAAACAATGTTGACCAATTTGGTAAGTAAACAATATGTCGATCTTTTGGAGGGGCTAAGCTAAATTGCCCACTTTTTTACAAAATTTTTCCCGAAAAAAAAGTGGAGGAACAATGAGAGTATATGAGATTCTTCTGTAAGTTTTACAGTTTTATAGGCAATTCTTCAGGCTTCAACTATTTCAGTGAGAGTCTTTTGACTACTTCTTGTTCTCAGAATAGACCTTCTGGTTTGGATGCCAAATAACTTAGGGAGTCCATTTGATAAATTAGCAAAAAAAACTTGACACCAAGAAAAACTGTCCAAATTATGCCTGCTCCTTAGTGTATCACGTCTCTTGAACTTCGTCGACAACAACCTACACTAAGGTAAAAACAGTTTCCAGAATACCCTTCTGGTTTGGATACCGAATAACTTGGGAGTCTACCAGAAACAGCAAAGTTTGATCCCAAGAAAAACTGTCCAAAAAATGTCGCTCCTTGGTGTTTCATATCTTTAAACTTCGTCAGCAACTGCTTTACTCTAAGGTAGGACTAAGAAGTATCTGTCTTGGATGTTCCTATATTATTTTTCTGTAGTTCGGTTTTCTGTTATTGTTGTTTAGAAGATCGTCAGAAAGAGTTGATTATATTCTTTATATTAAAAAATTAATAAAATATTATTAGATATTTAATATTGCAGATTAAAATAAAATCTGATCAAAATGAAACTGAGAATCTCTCATACTCACCTTTAGAGCTTATAAAACCCATATATACTCATTTATTAATAAACCTAACCCTAAATCCTACCCCTAATGCTAAAAAGAATCCTGAAAATGTTTTTTAAAAAAATTTAAATTTTCTTTAAAAAACAGAAAAATTTCATTTTGATCAGATTTCATTTTAATCTGTGATATTTAATGCTCAATAATAAATATTTTTTTAATTTTAACATCTTTTACTACTATATTTTTAACAAAATTATATTTTTAGATTTTATATGCTATAGTAAAATTTTAATTAAAAAATATATTTCTAATTAGTATATATAAATTCATATATAATTTTTTAACCTTTTTTTTTTTGTTTTATAACTAGCCTCTTTGGAGTATAATTTTTATTTAAGTATTTAGATAAAGGTAAAGATAAGAAATTATATTATTTATATTATATTATACAAAACATAATGTTATATAATGTGATGTAGTCATTTTAAAATTTAAAAGTGTATATAAAAATTACTATATAATTTTAATACAACAAAATTAATAAAATATTATATTTTATATTATATACAATATTAAGTAATACAGTTTAACCTCCCTATAATCACACCCCTTGGAATAAAGATTTGTGTGATTGTAAAGAGAATTTTACTAAGATGTGCTTATAAAGAGGTTTTTTTTTCTATATGTTTATAATAGTTGGTTTTAAAATAAATGTGTTTATAAAGAGAATTTTTATATGATGTGCTTATATAAAGGGTAATTATAGGGAGGTTTGACTATATATAGTGATTTTCTACCTGTATAAAGTGGGCTAACTAATATAAAGTTTGAAAATACTATAAAATTATAAACTTCTGTCTAGAAATAAGAAAGATTAGATATAAATCTTGTTTTTGATTTTAATAAAATACTGTGTTTATATAATGTTGCATACTGTATTATACTGTATTATACAATATAAAGCTAAAAAATATGTATTCACATATTTCTAAGTAAAGAGCTTGCTTACAAAACCTCTGTATATTACAAATGCAATTCTATTTATATTACTAATATATCTCTGCTATAATTAAATGTCAAAAAAAATCTTAGATACTTCTTTAAAATCCTTAAAACTAATTTATTCTTAAGGTATTATTAATTAGAGCTTTCTATACTCACAATCCAGCTAATCTAAAGTTTGATAACTTACACTAAGTCTAAAAACAAGTACTTATAAGCCAAAGCCACTACAGTTACCTACTTCTGCTTTTGTAAAGTTTATTCAAATCTCAGTATATACTTTACAAACTATTATCTGTACTTTTGTCCTCAAACTTCTAATCCAGATGGCTCAAAATGGCTATAATCTACTCCTAGTTCCTACAATTAGATCCTTTTCTTCTGATTACTCTTTCGACAGCCTAGTTGATGGAGTGCTTGTTAATACTTTGGTTTCATTTAGATTTTATCAGTTCTATAGCTTGATAATTTTTTATATAGTACTGGTAAAGATCTGTACTATCTCTCTACTCATATTTTGCTAAGCAGGCTTCTGTATTTTTTAATCTGTTGATTTTACACAGCTGCTTTACTTAGATTTTGTATAACTTATATATTATAATATAGTTCTATAACCTTCTAATACTCAACTCTTCCTGACGATTACTTGTACCAACTTAACACCGAAAGCAAGTTGAAGATTCAAGCCTAGAAGTCGACAACAACTTGAAGTTTTCTTGATATGAACTGTTGTC